GGCCAGCCATAAAAAAATCAATCAGTAAATTACAATGCTAGAAATATTTAGCTGTAATGCAGGTATTAAAGAAAGATTTAAGAAATGCAAATTTAAATCATGATAGGGCTGGGTGGCAGACAATTCACAACTTCAAATCTCAAAGCGCTAAGAATGGGCAAAGGCACTCCTGAGTTAGACTCCCTCTTAGCATGCAAACAGGAAACTCAGTCCAAAGTAAAAGACCACCCACCCTCTCAACCCAACGACCGAAGAAGACCAAAAAGGCCAAGATGAATTTTAAGGGAAAAAATGTTATAAGAAAGACAAAACCCAACTGACAACATTCTAAGGAGAGGAAACCTTAGGGTGAGGGCGCTCAGCCCAACTCCATCGACCGTGGAGGCAGCTGCGGTTCCGCGGGCGGGTCAGAGTACCTGGGAAATGCGAGGAAACTTCCTGCAGGAGAAGTCAGTGAATCCCAAGGCTGCGGGTCAGAGTACCTGGGAAATGCGAGGAAACTTCCTGCAGGAGAAGTCAGTGAATCCCAAGTCGTGGAAGCCAGCAGGAATGGAAGGGTTGTTCTGTATGAAAGGCCTTCCCATCGCGTCCCTGGGGAGCTGTTTGTGGACAAGCGCATTGTGGCGCAGCAGTCCGCGATGTGTTCGGAAGGTGACGCAGCAGATGTCACATCTAGGAAAAGAAAGGAACACGGATGAGGAGGCAGCCAGGTCAGAGTTTCCACTCGTCCTTTAGCCATATTATAGCATTTTTTTGTAGCTCCATTTCAACTGAACAAAATAAACGATATGACACTGAAAAGCCAGTCTGCTCATGGTTAGCACCAAAACACTATTCCTTTTAAAAAAAACCAAACTATATTCTACCAACTTCTGGATGCCAAATCCTTACAGGCAGCAAAAGATGTATATATGACTGGAACATCCGAAGCCTGTGCAGAACAAGAAGACAGCAGGAACCCGAAGCCACCGCTGCAGACCGACTCGTTCTTTTCTGAATCACGCAAGGTAGAGGAACCATTTCAGAGGCTTTCTCCCTCCCTCAGCTCGATAGTTTCTAATGGTTTTAAATATTTAAAAGTCAAAAAAGAATATGTTTACACAGAATCTAGAACAATCACATCAGTGTCCCTGGTATCGGGGATAAAATGATAATTAAGTCCTCCAACTGAATTAGTAGCAAGTGCAGTGATTGTGTATTAAATTCTGGTATTATTACCATTACTATCTGGAAAATAACCACAGCTCTCACACACTGAGCCCATACTGAGTGCAGGGCAGGCAGGCGGATATCATGACCCTCATCTCACAGATGGAAGCACAGGCCCCAAAATGTTAGCAACATGACAGAGGTCACACAGGCAGTAAGAAGCAAAGACAAAATGGGAGCCACGTTCACTCCCACTCACACTTGTCACAAGACTGTCTCCCTTTCCTTGACAGACTCCCACAAATGCAGCCCACTTAAAAATCATGACACTTCACTTTGGAGATGATCTTCCACACCTTAAATGTGCTGGGCCACACAGATGCATAGCAAACACCATTTTATAATACTGTCTCCACTTTTCCTACCAGTGTCTTCCAGGTCTTCACTGAGAATCACATTTAAAATGATACAATAATTACATTATTAACATCCCCTAGACTTGCACTGAATACAGTAGCAACTAGAGCAACGTGGCTACTTAAATTTACATCAATTAAAATGTCCACAGTCATGCTGTGCTAGCCTCATTTCAGGGGCTCAGTGGTGTTGGGCAGTGCAGACAGGGCACGTTCCTCGATGGCAGGAAGTTCTATGGGATGGCACTGGGCGTTGCACAACCGTGTACTCACACATGTGCCATGCATCTGACCCTCTCAAAACCTCGAAGAGTGGTCCTATTATCAGAGTTGGTGTTGGGCAGTGCAGACAGGGCACGTTCCTCGATGGCAGGAAGTTCTATGGGATGGCACTGGGCGTTGCACAACCGTGTGCTCACACATGTGCCATGCATCTGACCCTCTCAAAACCTCGAAGAGTGGTCCTATTATCAGAGAGGAAAAGCAATTTGCTCACATTTACACTGCACACACCTCAATGGAAACTTAGTTTGCTTTGAAATTCTTCTCTGGAAATAAAGAGATAAGGCAATAATCACCCACGAAGCAGCTGAGCTCACTTTTGAGAAGTGCTGAAAGAAAGAAGTGCCAAGTATGTGCAGCTTGGTGGCCTTATCGCATCGTGGCGGGGTGTGGTCCCACCGTGGATCCACCTCTCCTAGCTCCTCTGTTACCATGGCGGCATCTCCCCAACAAGATTCCTGTTGTCATTCAACTCCACTTAGAATACTGGGTTCCCAGGAGGCCCTCAAAACATAATGCTCCTGCTTGAGGGATGTCTGAGCTCACGAGCTGTGGTCCAGGTTCTGGGGGAGGGATGGTTTCAGATAATGCAGAACACCTTTAGAGATTGGAAATCCTTGCAACGTGGGCCCCGATGTGCAGCTTCCTCCCCTTTCTCTGGCCTGCTCTCTCCCCCATCCTGGGGATGGACCCCAAACCACAAAACCATTCCTTGCCAAAGTACCCAGAGGTCTAAGTCACAGGCTATGAGACAGAGTGAAGGGCAGCAGAACAGAAGCAGCCCTCTGGGTGAGGTTCTCTTTCTGGCTGGAACATGATCAAGTTCCAAGGTGCACCCACAGAGGGGACAGTGACCCTTGGAGGCTGACGGGAACTCCTCTTCTACTGCCCTGGGAATGGAGCTCCTTCTTTTCTACCACCCGGCTTCAGGCCGCCCAGGCTCAAGCTCAACTGCACTCTCCATGTGGTCACCAACCCAGCACCTCGCCACCGGTCAGCTGCAAGCTCTCTAGCTGTGATCCCGGTCAATTTACAAAAACTTCAGAAGGTAAGCCGCTATACGAGTCCTCTGGTGGCACGTGTAATGTGACAGAACCCATTGCTCAGCACGATGGTGCTTCTCGGGCACACATACTGGACAGTCAGTCTGGGGAAGAGGAGGAGGGGCCAGGGCTAGAGGGAGGCGCCAAGGCCAGGGCTCAAGAAGGCTCCACAAACATGGGATCTACACTCAGGGCGAGCTGCGTGCTCAGACCTACGGCACCATCTGCTTTGGTAGTTCACGGTATTTTTGAGCACGTGTCCCATACGTTTGTTTAACTGAAAAATGTGTTTGTATGTGTATACATATATATGTAGGAATATGTATTTACACACACACACATATTTGCCTGTATATAAAATATGCCAGGTGGGGGGGAGGAGAGAAAGAGAGGGGGGAAAGAGGAACGGGTAAAGGGTCACGAAAATCAACTGCAATATATATTGAGAAGTTAAAATTAAAAAAAACCTAAATAATAAAAATAAAACAAATAAAAATAAAATATGCCAGATACATTTAAAATA